AAGAAACAATTAGTTGCAACAAGGTCAAGTGCAAAAGTTGAATATAGAGCCATGGCACATGGTGTTTCAGAGCTCCTCTGGGTTTGATCCTTATTAGGGGAGATTGGAGTTGAGGCCAAAGAACCTATGATGCTATACTATGACAATCAAGCGGCAATTAACATTGCCCACAACCTAGTTCAGCATGATAGGACAAAGCATATAGAAGTGGATAGACACTTTATAAGGGAAAAGGGTGGCATTTGGAGTAGTGTGCTTACTATATGTTGCTTCTAACTTGTAGCTTGCTGATGTTTTTACAAAAGGTGTTGCAAGAAACAAGATGGAGCATGATCTACGCAAGTTGGGAATGTGTGACATCTATTCCCAACTTGAGGGGGAGTGTTGAGTTTTGAGTTGATGTCATTTGTTTTTTATTTACATAGCATAGTTAGGGAGTTATTGGCCCAAGGCCCATTAGTTTATGTTTAAGTTAAGAGTGTTTATTTAGATTTTACAAGTAACCGACTTACTAAGGGCATACTTGTCTTTGTATTCAGCTTTTATTTGTGAGTATATAAGCTAATGAAAGGGGTAACCAGACATAATTTTTGGCTTCTCCCATTCTCTTCAAGTTCTCTCCTCTTTTCTTCTCTACATAAACCTTCTCTTCTCTTCTCTTTCTTACACAGATTTTATATCAAAACAGATCTTCTACACTTTTCTACTGAAGCTTGCCACAGGTGTTGATTTTGATTTTTCTCATGGAGCACCTCTCAACAGAATGTCTTGATTTTGAGGGGAACCTTTTTGTACCACAAATCTTTAAATGGAAAGGGATGCTGAGGAGAGGAAGGTGCAATGAGAGCATAGAAAAAGGAAGCACAAGAAAAGGCTCTACAGGGGTTGGCAGTCCAAGTATGAGCATCTAGTCTAGAGGCATCAAGGAAAACACCATCAAGGACTTTCAGCAAATCAAGAACTTGAGAGGTTTCTAAGTCTCTAACACCCCGATGAAAACCTAAATCCCAATTCAAATTTCAACCCATGAATAGAAGGGGTCACAAATTTAGACACAAGCTCTTTTTTTATAACCAAATAGTGCAGTCTTTGAGTGGAGACTTTTCCACCCACAGATTTTCCCAATTTGGGATTTTGTGACTAGATCACACATCATTCTAGATAAGTTTAAGAAAACAGGAAGAATACCTTGAATTGCTTTCTAGGGCAAAGCTAAGGTAGTCCTTGCCGCTACACCAACGTCCTAGCCATTATCCATAATGTCATGAATGCTCACAATCACCTTGTGCCACAACTTATCTTCTTTTAAGGGCAACCTCCACAACTATTTCCCTAACAATTGCCTTGATCCTATGGGCAACATCTTCCTCAATTCCTCCCTTGTTATGAATTATCAAACCAAGTTACAGGAAAGGCCACATTGAGTTATCTCTTGGTTTCCAATCCTAAGTGTACCTTGATTTGCACTCCTATTATTAAATTTATATTTCATATATTCTATTTTATCCATACTTACTTTTAAATCTCTTGTTTCCTAGGTAATCATCCATAATTTTGCATTTAATCTTTCATTCGTTTCATCAATTAAAACAATGTTACCAACAAACAACAAGCATCATGGGACCTCCTCTTGAATATGTTTAGTCAATTCATCTATGATCAGTACAAATAAATAAGGGCTAAGTGCTGAACCTTAGTGAAAATTCATTGTAACTATAAAATCTGATGTCTCTTCTATAGGTGTTCTAACATTGGTTGTTGCACCCTCGTTCATATCCTTAATTAGGTCTACATACCTATTTGGCACTCCCTTCTTTTCCAAGACTGATCATATTTTTTGTTTTGATTCAAGAAAAAGGAGAATGGACATACTGATTTTTGAAGAATTTTTTTCCCTATCAACTGCACTTACTAAATGGTAGATCCTAAAATTTGATCTGCCTTGAGGATGGACTATCCTATCATTGCAAACCTAGGAAATATGGTTGTAGATTGTGAATGATTGTATGACAGCGTGATGGTGACAGTGGTGGTAACAGTGTTGTGGTGGTCGGAGTCAGGATGGCGAGAGGGAGACCCCCTATCTTGGTAGTAGAGATGTGAGATGTTGAATGGTTTTTTTTTTTCAAAGAGGTTACCGAAACCAAAGTCTAGCTGATAGAGGGTGTTTGCCAGTTTTATCGCAATGGTGACCTATTCTTCATTGAAACAACGGAAAAAAGGGGTGTGCGTTCAAAGGAAATTCTTGGAAAATTGTTTAGTTGGGAGGTTTGAGGGGGAAGTGCCTAATATAGTTAAAGTCAAAGGTAGGGCTTGAGAGGTGTGGAGCATTGTGGAGGATGTGAGGGTTAAAAATCTAATAAATGGGATTTTCTTATTCATTGTCTCTATTTTCTCTTCGGAGGTGGAAATTAAGGAGATATTGAGTAGACCTCAATGGAAGTTGGGGGATAATAGCTTGCTTATCGATCTGTGGAGCTCTTGTGTGGGATCTGCTTTAAAAGGCATGGGAGGCGTATGCCTGGAGGTGCCTCCAAAACACCCTAAGGCGTATGCCAGAGGCGTTGACACCTTTGAGGCGTATGGCTCATATGCTTTTTTCATGAGGCATGCTAGAGGCGTATGCCTCATGTGCCTTGTTCACACCTCATGTTAAAGGATAGCAAAAACAAAGAAAAAAGAATGACAAAGTTCAGATCTGTAAACCTGTTGTCTTCGGATTAATCAGGGAATAAAGGGAAAAAGAAGAAAGAAGAGAAAAGAGAGGAAAGAAAGAAGAAGAGTGAGGAGAGAAAATCTGGTTTGAACTAAAGAGAAAAAATCAGTCCTCTCCAGTCGACCAGGGTGTATTAACCTTTCTATTTTTCTTTACAAATGACTCTTGTGCCCCTACTTAAGTATGGGACACATCATCTAACTCAAAGACATATCACCATACTGATAAAACTTAAATGACCATTCTACCCTTATTTAGTCGACACTAACAAAGAAAAAAACGAAAGGAAAGAAAGGGATGGGAAAGAACAAGAAAGAAAAGAAAAGGAAAGGGAAGGAAAGAAAAGATAAGGGGAAAGAAAGTGGGCTGGGGCTTAGTCCTCGGACCTCTTTTAACTAGTGATGTGCATCTTCATTCTTCTTAATATGAAATATTTTTATTAAAAATAAGGAAAAATGAGATCCTCCTTCCTCCTCATCCCCCCTCCTCTTAAGTAGGCTTACGCCTCCTTGTGTTTGGGAGGCTCACACCTCTTATGTTCTGAACTATGCCTCACGCCTCTAGGTAGTGGAACACCTCGCGTCACGCCTCCGCGTTTTAAAACATTGTGTGGGATGTATAAAAAATGAGCCTACTATTAATGATAGGTTGAATCAGAAGATCTAGGTTTGAGTCTATGGCATTTCATTGATGCTCTAGAGTCTAGAAATTATCTCGGTGGTTGGTGACTACTATGGGTTTTCCTAGCAACCCATGACTCATTCAATGAGTTAGCTACATGCAGATGGGTTAGATTGTAGGCAATGTGGAGGGGGGAAGTTTCGGCGGTGGTCATATGTGGTACATATTTTTTTAGGCATATGTGATACATATTTGGTCAGAGCTTGAACCCTTAGTATGGTTGGCAGCTACCATGCACAAGGCGGCGAGGAAAATCTCTAGTGATGAGCTGATTGATACCTATAAGGAAGGGGAGTTTTACATTGGGGGAAATGATGTTGCTCAAGGTCACCAAAGGACCTAGCCCCACCATTTAACTAGTGATATGCATTCTTCATTCTTCTTAATATAAAAGATTTTTATTAAAAATAAAGAAAAATGAGATCATCCTACCTCTTTTTCCTCCTCCCCTTCCTCCTCACCTCCTCCTCTTAAGGAGACTTACACCTCCTTTTTTGGGAGGCTTATGTCTCTTAGGTTCTGAGCTACACTTCATGCCTCTAGGTGGTGGAACGCCTCACATCATGCCTCTGTGTTTTAAAACATTGGTTGGGATGTATATGCTCTTGAATCTGAAGTGCTATGCCAGTCTTACATATTTTCATATAATAGGAAAATAACCACATCCATTACTTATATGCAGGCAGGCATCATGGTATAATCATTTAGCTGGACTTTTATTGGGATTTGGGAAATAGGGAATAATAGGTCGTTATTCCCTTTGTTTTAACATTTGATATAATGAACTGGTGTCTGGCTGACATACATTTGGAATTTTATGGGGATCATCGTGTAATTGCCATTATAATGTTTGTACAATATTAATTTTCTAAATTTGACCTTTTTTCATAGAAGCTGAAAGGGTTTTGTAACTATTTTTATGAAGTATTAACATGACATTTTTATTGATTTATTTTTAACAGTGTTTATTTTTTTTAGTTGCACATATTTTCTAATCAGTAATACTGTAATAGTAACTCCATTATTTATTTATTTATTTTTTTTTGTGAATATAAGATGTAAGAAAAGGACTGACTTATGAAAAAAAAAGAAAAAAGAAAACAAAGAAAACTGACCAAACAAAAGACCAAGAATTAAATCAATGCCTCAATAATTCCTTCCACATAGCTTCAAAATCTGTCCTCTGCATATCATTGAAATATTTTTGCACTAGAGCCCAGTCTATAATCAAAGAGCTGATGTCATTGTATAACATGTGGATAGTACCTATATATGTAGATTAGATTAGTGTAAAATGAACATGGATCCGTATAGCTAATTTAGGCTAAGGAATTTTCATTATTTTATTTTTTTAGAAAGTTGTATTTTTGTTAGGATACTGAAAATCTCTTTTCCTTGGTAATGTCTAAGGATCTTTTTTTCTTTACCATTTACTCATATTACCAATCTATAGTTCTTTTTTCGTTAGAATGGAGGTATCCTGCACTATTCTATTTGATGGAAATTTTATTATCACTTTAAATTGAGTGTCTTTTACTTTGTTTAAATTGTCTAGATAATGGATTTGGATTTAATGCTTTCTCTTGTTGTCCTTTTTAACCAGAAAAAGGCTTTGACTGGAGAACCTGACTCATTTGGTACGGCTCTGATCTTTGATATATTGGTGTTGTGATGTTTTAGGTCAAAGTTTTATTGATATGATTTCTTGTTTGTTAAGTCATGCTTAAACATGTAAAATGTTTTCTTCTTTTAGCAAATGTGGAATATGGAAAGGAAGGCTCAATTCACTCCTGGTAGTTTCTTTTTGTTACATAGAACAATGAACATCTTTTCATACGATCATGTGGTTTGTTTTTTCTAGCTTTTATTTTAGTTGTGGAACAATTTGGATAGGTTGTCTAGCACAGGTCATCTGTTTCCAAGGGCTCTATGTTTTTTTAATGGATAACTGTAAACTTTTATTTATTTATTTATGGTAAGTAACTGAAGCACTTTATTAATGAATATCAGAAAATGTGGACAAATTACATACAGGATACAGCCCTTAGGTAGGGTATCAATTATTACCCTACCTCAATAACATTATAACTGTTACAAGCAAGCCCAATACAATTGATCCCTGCTAACCCCTTGCGTAGGTAAAGCATCTATCCATTTGAGATCTCTGCACCCATGTGTTTTTACAATCATGCACATTGTCAACCATTCAATCTGTTTGAGTTCATTCCTGTAACCCCCATATTGCTTTCTCACTGTTTTTCAGCCACCCAGTTACAACTTTAGAATAACCTTCAATGACTAAATTTGTTATATTTTGTTCTCTTGTACATTGTATTCCATGAAGCACTGCTAGAAGGTCAGCCCTTGTTGCATCTCCATGGCCAATTGGTCTTGAGAAGTGAGAACATAGCAATGATATGTCATTGCACATCTCTAAGGACTCCTCCCACTCCCGATGGACCTGGATTTCAAACACTGGTCTCATCAAAATTTAACTTAAATGAAGCCCTCCTCAGGTGCTGTCCGTTGAGTATGGACTTTTGATTTCTTTGAAGAGGATGCTACCACCTCACTCCACTTTCTCCACAAATTGTCATGTGTAAAGGATGACAATAACTCTATGGACTTAACCCAGTGAACCACCCTGGCCCCAAACTATACTTTTTTGATTGATAACTGAAAGTTTTTATTAATTTAAAAAAGAAATAGATACTATGTACAAACAGTACAATATGCACTTTTCACTCTTAGTAGAGGCTAATATCATTGCCTCACTCTTTTCTTTTAATAGAGAACTTGTGGCCAATTGGTCCTGAGTAGAGTGCAGCAATTGGATCTGTGGTTCAAGGAAGGAAGAAGTGCAATAGTTTGTCAGCCTCTCAAGAGATCTTCCACTGACAAAAGGTAGAAGAGAGGTGGGATTTTGGCCCAATGAATCATCTTAAACATGATACTCTGAATCAAAAGATTTACAGGATGGGCTTCTTCCTTGCATAAATGGGTATTCCTTTCTTCTGAAATGGACCATAAGATGTAAACACTTGTGGTTCTCTATCAGATGCTTTCTCTTTTTGTAAGTGAAGGTTGAAGAGAAACTTCAAACAAATTGTACATTATCCCCTTGTGGGATCCACCTACAACCAAGGATGCTGAGAAATGCTCCCGAGTTCTTGAGACACAATTACTAGGAATGGCAACGAGGCGGGTTCGGGGCAGGCCCGTCCCCGTCCCGTAACCAAAATCCCCTACCCTGTCCCTGGTGGCGGCGTGGGCACTCTTCCCCCATTGGGGATGGGGAATCCTGGAATTTTCCTTGCCCTAAAGAAATTACTTAAATATGCATTAAATTTTAGGGGTATTTTAGATATAGGATTATGGGAATTTAGGGGTAGTTTAGAACTGTGATTATGGGATCCTAGATTTTTTTTTTGGAATTTGGGAGAAATTCAAGGGATTTTAAAAAATTAATGTTAAGCCTAAGAACATTTTAATAATTTACCACCGGGTTTGGGGCAGGTTCGGGGAATTATATGCAAACCCCGTCCCTGCCCCATTCCTAATTTGGGGCAAAAATATTTTCCCCGTCCCCGCTCCGTCCCCATTTAAGATTGGGGAGGGTCAGGTGGGGTAGGGCACCTGTTTTTCGAGAAAAATTTCCATCCCTAACAATTACAGAAGATTAGTTGATCTGTAGATGATGCATAGTTTCACTACTTTCCAAACACAATAAGAAAATATGAGGTGATAAGCACCAGTTGGGCCTCCTCCTTTGAAGAACCTCACAAGTGTTGATCCTAGAATAATAGACCTCCCAATGAAAAGCCCTAATCTTGGGTAGGATCTATCTACTACAAATAAATTTCATTGGGAAGGGTCTAGGAGGGGAAGCAGAGAAAGGTGATTCAAAAAGTGAAGCACAAGAATAAAAAACAGAACTGGAATTCGACCAAACTCTCGTATCAACAACTGAGGAATCAAAGAAACAACCTTTAAGATGTGTAAGAAGATTAAGAGCTTTGGAGTATTCAGAATACCTTAATGCTCTTCTCAACCCCAAAATTCTCGGTAGATCTGGACTCAGATAAAGAGCACAAGAAGCTACTGGCTGATGCTTAAGTGTGGAGATGGGGTAAACAGAAGGGAATTTGTCCTTTAAGGGATATCTCCCCACCACAAGTCTCCCCCAAATTATATTTTTATTGTTCTACTTTTAATGAACCCCAAACGATTATTCCCTTTGTATTCCTTGCTTGGAAGTATGCCAGCCAAGCTCTTAGCAGATCTGTTAACCCATATAAAAGTTGCATTTGTCTCTGTTATTAGATTTTTAATCTCCCTCATGATTTTCCTATAGAGACAATACCTTTGTCCATGGTCTTTTAACCAGTGACCACCACCCTCAAGTCTCCTTCCATGGTTCCACCTGCAATTTGTTGTAGTTCAAAGAGACTTCTAGTCTAAGACCCTTCAATGTTTCTTTGAGTTCTGCCCTTACCAAATTTCCGATGCCTACTGGTCCAAAATACTACAAATATGTGGGAATGGTTTTTCTCTTTGTTAGGATGTAGGTGGACCCTGCCAACGGAGGTAGACAAGCTTTTTGACCTTTCTACCTTTGTTTGGACTAAATGGAGGGGAAGGATTATGTGGAGAAGTGCTAGAGCAGCAATTATATGGACTCTGTGGGAAGAAGAAACAATAGAACTCTTTTAGGAAAGGAGAGAAGTAAAGAAGTGGTAAGAGATTGCATAATGGTGAGGGTGATATATTGGCTTAGGACCTTGGATTCTTTCTCACATTGGTCCTTCGATGATATCTGGAGAAATTGGGAAGTAGTGGCCAGAAACTCTTCCAAAAAAGAAAAAGAAAAGACTTTATGGAAACCCCAGCTGAAGATTTCGTGAAACTAAATTTTGATGAGAGCTTAAGGGAACCTAGGCCCCTCGGGCATAGGAGGGGTGTTGAGAGACAAAGAAGGAAATATCATTGTGTTTTTCTCCACACCTATGGGAATGGGGGATTCCATTAGGGCGGAATTGCTTGCTGCTATGAAAGGGGTGCAGATTGCAAGTGCGTTGGGCTTGATAAATGTGGTGATTGAAGGGGATTCAAAACTGGTGATGGGTTGGCTGAAGAATCCAGAGTCTATAGCCTGGTGCTTTAGGGATGAGATGAAAAACTTTAAATGGCAAACTAGAAACATGAATTTGAGAATACGTTAGGATAGGAGAATGGCTAATGCTATGGCAGATGGGTTAGCTAAACAAGGGGTAATTAGGGACATTTTGTATTGGGCTCAGTTGTAATTGACAACTGTATTTTGATTGTTGAGTGAGAGGTAACATCTTGTACCTCTCTGTGGGATGCTTCTACTGCCTTTCTTTGATCTTTCATACATACTCACTTTTACTTATTGAAAAAAGGTATGGCTACTTATTGGAGGTTTGAGTTTTCTTAGTGAATACCCACTAAAATTGAGCTAAAAAACTCCATGAAGAGTGCCCTTGGGGGTTTGGGGGGGCTCCTACACTATATGTTGTGTACGAGTCAAGAGACATGCACTGACATGCCATCCTCTAATAAGTAACACATTAAGATGCCTCTAAGTCCATTTCTGATCAATATTTAAGGGTTTCTGTGTAAGTTCAATAATACCTTAATAGGACTGAGTGCTATTAGAGAAGGTTCTAAAGTGCATTTTTTTTTTTCAGATCCTTCAAAGATCAGTAGCTTAAGCTCTTCTTGATGTATCCTTATCTTGGTATTAGGAGAAAAGAGTCTATCCTCAAGCAAGTTCTAGATGTTAGTAGGAGGCTCCCATTGGAAGCTAGGGGAATTGAGTGACAAAATAAAAATTTGAGGAGATAGCTCCTATTTTTGGTCTATTGTGAGCAGTATTGAAGGAGGTATTTGTGAACACAACATTTGATGCTTATGTTAATCTCAGGGTCTTGGGGAGGAGTCTAGTTGGTTGTTTTGTTAATTCTGATCCAGATGCGGAAGATGTTAGGGATTGGGCTGCAACTATTTAGAGCCCAAAAAAGCCTTTGCAAGTTAGGAAACTGAACACTGGTTTCTTCCTATTTACGTTTGATAGTGTGGTGGCGAACCTCATGCTGGAGCGAGAGCTAAGTTAGTTGCGATCTCTAGATCTTAGAATCAGGAGGTGGTCTCCCCTGGTTGGTGCTATCAGAGACATGGGTCTGTCGAGTTTGGTTTGGATTGTTGTTTTTGGCATTCCCTTTCATGGCGGAACTTGAGTGCTGCATGAATTCTGGTCAAAGTTGCAGAGGTCCAGACGGTGCCAACATTGTTATCTCTTTGTTTTGTCGGTGAGAGATACAAGCTAAGACTTGTCGTTGAGGGTTCTTACTCTTTAAGATGGGTAAATAGCTTCGAAGGGTGGAAGGAGCACAGTTGGAAGAAAGTTCAATTTTCTGGTGAAATGAATGAGAATTTGAATGGATAGGTGGTGGCAGGAAGGACAGAGGCAGACAATGAAGGGAATTTATGGTACTTTAGGAATTTTAAGGAGGTTGGCTCAAGGGGTCATGGTGAAGGTGGAGGTTGTCAGATATTGAAGAGACTAGAAGTGGGTGGGGCCCAGCTGAAGTCTGTCGAACTAAACCGGGGGGGG